ATATATGTATATATATATATATATATACATATATACATATATGTATATATATATATACATACATACATACATACATACATACATACATACTAGGAATGAATCATACTTTCATATTAAATAACTTGTTTTGTTTTGTGGAAATTAGTTGTTTCTTCTGGAGATTTTCCTGTGTGCATCAGTTGATTAATTGAAGTTATTAGATTAAATCACTTATAGGCTACATTTGTGGGAAGAAATGTCCAAATACAAATGAACGCATCACACCATCAGCAGATACTGAATGTGAACCCAGGTTTCAGAGTAGATGCTACTACATCTTCCTATAGCCTCCATGTAGCTGAGCAGCACAGATCAAACTTCAATGGGAACCTCTTAGCTGCTGCTTGTTTTGAAGCCTTCCCTTCCATCCGCTGTTTACTACGACTTAAAAACGCTAACTCCACCCATCCAACTGAACCCGCCTTTTCTCCTGATAAGGTAATTACAGGAGGAAAACCGGAAGCCTCTCCATGGTAACTCCGTCACTAAGGGGCGGGGCTAAAGAATGGACTAGTAGAGGGATGACTGACAGCTCGCTGCGGCGGCTTCTTCTTCCAACTCACTGCATCTATTAGCGAAATACCTCCAGAAAACTCAAACACACCGCTATATATATATGTATGTGTGTGTGCATATATATATATGTATATTTATATATAAACAGGTTTTCGTGTGTCTATTTTGCGCAGTTATCGTCACCATTTAAGTGTCATTTGAAGTAGAGCATGTAAACAAAGCTCAAAGCCAGCAGCTTCCTGCCGCCTCTTCCTAAAACTAATTCCTCCGCAGTTCCTTTCAGGTGTCCTGCCGCTACCTGAGCACCCTGCTACATGCTGGCTATTAATTATCATCAGCATTTGTCACACCACCTCCCAGCAAAGATAAAAGCAGTACAAGCAGCAGAGAGAATAGAGGCTGTATTGCAGCTGTACCTCAGCTTCTCCTGCTCATCGTTGTCCTCGAAGGCGAAGTGACTGTGCTCCTGTCTGAGGAGCGGAACAGACCCACACAAATACCCAGATTTTATTCATGCAACTTGGCTGCTGCAGAAAATACTCTCTTCTTCTTTTCTTCTTTTCTCTCACAAATCCAGAATCTCCGTTTTTTCCTGCCAGCTCTGTGTAGATCTTCAGTCCAGTGCCATATATAAAAAAAAAACTAAAGTAACTCAGCTGGTTAAAAAGTTTATTTTTTTTATTATTATAATATGTAAATTATTAAAAGCGACGTTGGGTTGAATGAGAAGCAGAGCAGGCTTTATCCTCTCATCAACAGAAGTGCTGGATGCTGTCGGTCAGGGCGCGTGTCTCCGCCCCACAGCCGCTCGTGCGGTATTGGAGGAAATTTCTTACCACAAATGGATGCGTGATATCATCTAATAACTTCAATTACTCAACTGATGCACACAGAAAAACTATACAAAAAGATTTGTTTAAATAAAGCTACTAAATTCCATATAAACAACACATGTTATTTAATATAGGAGTCATTCATTTCTTTGATGTATATGTTTGTGTATATATGTATATATGTATATATATGTATAGACATATATGTACATAGATATCAAATATATAAATATGTACGTAATCTAAAACAATATGTGGCAGTTCTAGACTAAATTTACCAGGCTACGGAACAAAAATTATAATAAACACAATAGAAAAAAGTATAAGAGTATACTAAAGGTGATAATATGTCTGAAGCTTAGATGTTACTTTAATTTAAATAAATTGCAGAGGTATATTATGAAACTGTTCAAAGTGATAAATGAATTACACACTGAGAATTTGTCATTTCGACTAGGATCTAAGCAAAAAATCTTTTCAGTTATTTTGAACTTCACACACCGAGCAGATTCTGTTAGATTGTTAATCTTTGAGAAGATTGGACTCATAATAAAATCAATAATCTGCAAATCCTGTGAGACAATTGCACTTACTTCTTGAAATAATGATATTTATCTTTAAATCAAGGTTTTAAAAAAAACTTGGATTCAAAATGAATAGAAAATGAGATGATCTGCCAAAGGAAGTTGCATTTTTGCCCTTAAAATAAGATCATTACACTATCCATTTCAACCTATTTATGGATTTTCTTTCTATCTTGAAATGTAAATCATCTTATTCCATTGGTAAGTAATGCACCTACCTCCTGAAATCAAGGGCAAAAACACTTCTTTTAGGAAAGATTGACTTCGATTTGTTTGTAGTGTATGCTTTCAGAGCAGGGGCCAGGACCAGGACCAGTTCCCCAGAGCCCTGGCCCCTTTAGGCCCCTTTTATAACCACCATAAAATAAAAAGATTAAATTAAACGCTTGGTATATTTTCCTGTAGAGAAAAGTTAAGGGCCTTCCTTCCACTTCTTGCTGCTTTTATTTTTTACACTCTATCTTTTTTTTTAATCATCAGCTGTGTATTAAGATTTTTTTTATTAAATAAATAATGAGTTAGCATAATCTTTTTAAATTTTTAATTGATTGTTTTTTTGTTTTGTTTTGTTTTTTTGTTTTGCTCACTTATAGCTGTTTTTATTTATTTTTATATCTGTATTTTTCACAGTAAAATTCTTACTTCTGTGTTTTTAGGTAGACAATTTTAAGATCTGTCCAGGGACAAAAATAGCCTTTTGCCTAATTCTGGTGCATTTGCAGGAATGCTTAATAGATAAATAAATAAATATATTAAATAAATAAATAAATAAATAAATAAATAAATAAATAAATAAATAAATAAATAAATAAATAAATCTAAACCTCTGGTTTTGGTTTTAGCGGCTGACCTGACACTCACAATATGGCGGACCTTCTGGCGTACGGTTTTTAATCGGTAAACTGGATCTCTCCCGTAACCACCAGCCGGCGTCTAACTTAGGTTTTGGAGAGGAGATCAAAACTTGCTTTTTCGCCTTTCTCCAGAGTGGACCTTTTAAAATAATTGATTTACTGTTGATCATTAAATAAAAGAAAACAAAAAATAAAACACAGATATTATAAATTTGTTCTGCATGGGATTAATAGTGTTAAGCGAACTAAATGTTTTTAGTTTATACAAGACACAACACACTGAGGTAAATTTCTACTTTTTTTCGAATTCGTATTTTTTGTGTCAATATTAGTCACAGTTGATGCTCGAAAAACATTCTTCACTGAGCATTGCTGTGCTCTGGAGGATAAACCCCTCCCTCACCGGCGTGTAACTTGCCTCGTTGAAGCGTAAATGGTGCAGAGCTCTGAATCATTTCCAATCTCTTAAACATGCGCTCGTTTTTGTTCTCGAGAGAGAACAGAAAGGCGGGGTTAATCCGACAAACACCCCTTGCTAAGGGTTTAACACAGACTCCACCGAAAAAAACAAATCGAGGCGACTGTTTGGAAGCGCCTCCTTTTAGATGTCAACAAGGAATGTGCATGGATCCTGAATGGTAGCTCTTAGCAGCAGTTGGTGCTTAAGACGATCGGAAAACAGCTTGTAGAAGAAATAACCTGGATCTGTCCTTTAGTGCCAGGGTGGTCAGGTAGGCAGCTGAACTCCTCTGGGTGTGTCTCCCTTTAGCTTGTTATCAAGCTAACGTTAGCTAGTTATTAAACGGCGACTAAACCTGGTTATATCTAGCAAGTTATGTTGAAAGCAGCCTTTTATTACCGCCTAATGGCGACATTATGCTAGTTAATTCTAAAGGGCTAACTCAGGCATATTAAATCCACTAGAGTAACTAAGTTCGACCTTCTTTATATATCCTGAACAATAAAGTTTATACATAATGAAGCATCAATCCTTTTAGCTAGGCAACTACAGTGCCTTGCTTAATTATTTATTACTTTAACTCATTTTTAGCTTTAAAAAAAAAACACAAAGTGTATGTTTTTAGGGCTTGGAAAGTAACAAGTATCTTTAAAACAAGCAAAAAAAAGCTAAAAAAGTTTAATTTCATTTGTCCATTAGCCCCTTTTCTCAGATACCCTTAAATAAACTGAGTGGACCTGCCTTAGATCTCTATATCTCAGCATAAGGAGGGTTGTTAAACTACATCAGAGAGCATTTAGCATCCTTAAGACCATCAATCAACACAAACAGGTCAGAGCTAAAGCTGTAAAAGCAGATATGGGTATTTAAGGAATATCTAAAGCATTAAATATCCTACAGACCACATTTTGATCCCTCATTTTAAAATGACAAGAATACTCCCAACATGTTTATCTCACCTCTTTAATTCACTTTCCTTTATTGAGAACAACACCCTGTTAACATTGTGTTTTTTTTTTGACAACTTATTTATCCTCTTCTTTTTTACCCCAGATATACCCTTTAACCCAAGACAGATGTGGATTGATTGATACGTCTGTCGTCAAGTCTCACAATATCCATGTGTATAATCTTCCTGAAGTTTGATCCTCGGCCTGCATCCAAAAATGCCTACAGGTAAGGCAGGAAGTAAAATAAAATCCCCAATGGTTTAATGTAAAAATGGCCGAATAGAAATGTGCTGTTAACCAGAGGAGGCTGGGCCTCCTTCTTAGTTACCCTGGAATGACTAAACCAATTCATTATGTGCCCACAAATCATGTTTAACTATTAATACGCTTTTAAGATGCTTCAAAGTAAGGCTTCATGTCTTAATGCGCTTTGGCGCAGCTGTCTGATCAATGCAGGATATATCAGCCAGCAAGCTATAGAAGCTGAGTAACTGAAGGGTTTGTTTATATTTGTTATTGTGTAATAATATTCCAATAGTATATCATTTATTTATTGGGAGGAGCTTCTACTGATCCTGGCAGGAAGTTTAGTCCTGTAACTTTTCAAAATAGGAAATCCAACCGGTTACCATTTTTTTTTTCCCCACATGAAGTCGATTTAAGCTCTAAAATATCCTCCCTGGTCTTTCTGGAGATGGAAAAGCATTTTGGATCTGAGAATGGCCAGAATGAAGCAGACAGTAGACATTATAGATTTCAGGGGAAATCAGCAGAATTACAGTCGAGGGTGATGCGTCAGAAATCATCATTCTCATTTTTAAAGTCGTAGGGAAACCGTATTTAATTGTCAAATCATTCTGGCTTAAACATGTATAGAAAAGTACTCTTTATCAGACGATATTGTCCCAAAATTTAGCAAATTTATATAAAAAAAAAAATTAATTCTGTCTTAGAATCTGTGGGTTTTATGCAGGCCAGTTAGTTATACGTCAGCCTGAACACCTAAATTCAGCCAATCAATCAAATGTTTTCTTGATTCATATATTGCAGGTAATATATGCAACAGTTGAAATAAGAATTATTCAGTTTACCATTGAGTTCCGTCCCAGTGTTCGCAGGGATGGACCTCTGTGTCTTCGGCAGGCGTAGAGCTAACAGAACTGGCAGTGTTGTGAGGCAAGGGCTCAAACATGTACGGCTTTCAGCCTTCTACACCAAACCAAGCTTCTGCCGCCCTGGCGTCCTCTTCCACATCAACTCCATTCCCACTTTCCTCCTCTAAATAAAACTGATGACGGAGGAGACTCATCCATGACCTCCAACAAAAAAACTCTCCTCCTCTTGTATGTTTCCGCTGTCCATAGCGTTCCTTGACCGTGTTGTTTCTAAGTCACCAATTTAGAGGTACTTGGTCCCAATGGAATTTCCCATTGGGAACCTACTAGCACTAAGTTGCTAACTGGTTAGCAAGATGCTTCCGACAATCCGGCCACAACAAAACTTTCTTGCAAACATTCTGCCACAACAATCCCGCCCCCTTGATAAACAACCAATCACATTCAATCACATTATTAACTTGTGTAAAGTCGTGCACCACTCGGGAGAATTCGAAAATGCAACAGTTGGAAAGGCCGCTTCCCTACGACTTTAAAGTTGCAACCTAGATACAACAGAGAAGGAGACATAGATAGACACATTTGTACAGAACAGCAGATGAAGAAACTGCATTCATATTCTGTTTGTTATAACTCTACGGGTTTCTGGACATAGTCAGAAATGTAAAAAGTTTAGGAAGGACATCTGAATTTGAACACCATTAAGGGATTAGTGTTACTCTCTTTAGATTTATCAGCATCTATCTGCTGTTTTTCTTTAAGCAGAACGTAACACAGAGATCAGACATCACTGCTGGGATAGCTTAACCTTGGCAAACAGGCCAGCAGTACAACTCCAGGACAAGAAAGTAGAAAAAGATGGAAAGAATTGAAAGTAATGCCTCAGCTAGCTTGCTCTTGGTTGGAGAAAAGATGTCTGGATGGTGGGCAAAGACAGGAAATATATCTTCCTTAAAAATGGTTTTCTTTTTTTAAGATAAGAGATATTTTAATCCCATTTTTTTCCTAGCCTCTCTGTTGAGTCTGTCAGAAACACAATAGCTGGAGCACGGCTGCTTAAACAGGAAAAGGTAAATAGAAGCCGACTTGCTGGAGGACGCTGTTCCTTCCAGAAATAATGAGAAAGGAAGTTGCTGCCAGCAGTATATCTGTGCCAGGGGTGAGACTCAACAGAGATGGAGCCAACAGGCATTGTGACACAAAACAAGCAGAAGGTTCCAGAGTGAGAATCAGCACAATCCCTGAAGGCAGGCAAAAAAAAAACAGCAAATGACCTGATAGCTTGGTAATCCGAACAGTAATTGGTCGTATACTGTAGTCTGGGCTGATCCAGCATTGACCTAATTCTGAAGTTAAGGCACTTTATTTTATTTATCAGTTGGTGTTTTTTTTTGTCTTTATTCATTCATGATTAAAGGAGGCATTTAAAATACAGCCTGGAAGAGATTTTAGTTGCCTGCATCTCTACAGTACATACAATGCCAGAAGCATTGTATGTAGAGATGCAACGTAATGAAAATCTGGGCTGATACTGATATTGATATTTCCATTATCAATGGAATTATTGATTCCATTTTGAAGGTGGACTTTCTCACTTCAAAATAGATTCAAACTACTTTTTACCCACTGATCACAGCAAATATAGCTGCCATTGTTACAGGCAAAGAAAGGATAGGTTAGCTCCGCCCAACGCGCATCAGGCCCACTTTTCCACCGCGCAGCCGGAGCAGCAAAGATGCCTTAGAACTACACTTGTAAAAGCATGTAAAAGAATTGGAGTGAAACTTTAGATTTTATGTTTTTTATATTTTTTTTTTCTCAAATTTGTCTTTTTTTTTACTTTTGTTCAAAATGAAGTAGCTTCAATTTTATTTATTCAAATGTTTTTTTTTTTGTTGTTGTTGTTTTTTCAAAATACATTCTTTTCAAATTGCTTTTTTCCAAATCACATTCTCCTCACATCTGGGCCCGGGCTTTCCTCTAAAAAAAAAAAAAGATCCTTTTATTTGGTCGATGTCCGTGTCAAGAGAGAGCATTTATGTTTGGCTTAAAGAAGAGAATGTGATCTCTAAAACACAATTTCAAAAGATTCTGATCAATAAAACTCGTTCTTAAAAAAAAGGAAATCTGAAACTATAACATCCGTATAAAAAAAACTTTTCTTAAAAAATAAATAAAAATATAATGAGAAAAATAAAATCAGAGGAAACAGCAAAGCTGCTTTCAAAGTCTTTTCTTTAAAGAAGTTTTTCAATGTTTAAATGGCATGCATTTTCTTCATATTTCCATTTTCTGAAAAGGTATTGCATGAAACTAAATTCAATCCATTCCTGAAACATTATCTAGTAACAGATCAATTCCAGGTGTTTTCTTCACTCCTATTCTTCCCAGCACCCGGTTATGCAGTCATGTGCTCGGTGAATCCAGATTGGTACCATGCGAGGGCATCACCTGTGGAAAATAGTCAAGTTATGCCTTTACTGGTTACTTAATCCGGGTTTCCGCGGGTCATTAAAAATCATTTAGTCATTAAATAATAATTTTTTTAAATGAAGGCCCGAATTGGCGTTAAAACTCATTAAATGTGATTATTGTGGCATTTAAAATGCTTTATATAAAAAAAAGTTTCTAAAAACAATTTCGTCAGATATATCGTGATATATTTGCGCGGAACTGCTTCCTGTTGATCGTAAAGCCGTATGTTCGAAAAAGAAGCTCGAGATGGAGAAAAAGCTAGAAATAGGGGAAAATGCTAATTTCAACAAAAGTGGCTGGAAATCGAGGAATTGCAGCCTGTCGACGGTAATGAGGAAGAAGGAATTTGCCATGTATATATGAGAGTCATGGGTACTTGTTAAGAGCATTAAAAAGCATTAAATTGGAGTTACCTATTGCTGTATAAACCCTATTAATACTCCAAAGAAACCATGATTGATGAGGGTTTTACCAAGCAGGTAGTGGATAGAGTTGCTTTAAGTTCTCCCTGCTGCCTTCTGGGAAGAGACCCGGAAGCATCCGATGCAGGTCCTGCAGATTCCAGAACAGTTTCCTCCCCACTGACTGCTGAATGCTGTATGAAATGGGGTTAAAAAAGAAAAAGCGCTGAATTTGGAACCTGTAAATCATATAACAGTCTTATGTTTACATTTGATCACTGCTGCACTTTATAAACGGAAATGTTTTGAGAGCTGTACTGAACTAATTTTCTTTTTTATAGACTCTGTGTTTACATGACAATGAAGTCTGCCTTAGTCTAAAGTCTAAGATGAATTAGAGGTGTAAGCCAGGACTTCCTGTCCAACATCAGTGTCTGACCTCACAAGTCCTTTTTCTAGGAGAAAGTCACAAGAAAGTTCTCTAAACACACAAAACTAGAGGGATTTGCAGCTATTCATAGCAGCACAGATTGGGTCGACCCAAAATGAAACGGTTTGGATTTAGAGAAGAACGAGGAGCAAACTCTTTTAGGAGTACAATGTATATTCTTGGCTTTTATTTGTTTGGGATTTGATCATGTGTTTTCAATTAAAGTTTCAGATGAGATAATTATGAAATTCTAATTATTAAAATATAATATAGCCCAACTAAAGAAAGTAAAATAAGTGGCTCCTTTCAGTAGGAGGGCTACAAGCAGTCGGTGTGGGCTATGGTGCAGTACGGAGACCTTGTTTAGCGTATTCCCCTCAGAGGGAGGTGGTGAACGCTCTGCCTGGATAAAGTCCCCCCCCCCCGTCCCTGCCTGAGGAAAGGACGGCAGAGGTGTGCTGTGACTACTAGCTGGGACCTGGGGAAAGGTGAAATGCATGTCCTCACATATTTATGTTTAGTCTATATATAGGAGATTATTTGCAGGAAGGACTTTTTGTCTTTGCAGATTGCAGAAAAATAAAGAATAATCAGCATTTTTAAAAACTAATTTGCAGGTTTATTAGTTTCAACTATTAAACCCTCACAGTACAACATGAGTAAAAATGTTTCTGCAGGAGTTAAATGGTTTCATAATCAGCTTAAATGACTCAGTTATTACCCACACGCTGTTATTTCTTTATCTGGAAATCCCATTTCTGCCCTGTATTGTTTTCCCCCTGATTTGGCAAGTTTTCTCCACAAA